GGAATTCTAAAATTAAACACTTGAAAATAATTAATTGAGAATTAATTATTATTTAAATAATGTGATTATTTAAATTTGAATTTGAACACATCTAGATTTATCCATTTAAACTTATTTGATAAGTTGTTCAATTTAGAAATTCAAATTAATTTAAGTTTGACTTAAATTTGAATTTGAATTTGAAATAAAATTGGACTACAGGATAAAGGATGATTTTCTCTTCCTTCCCTATCCAGTATTGGCGCCACACACAGGGATAGGAATCCCTAGCATGGCCGGCCACAAGGGATAAGGGATAGAGGAGAATTTTGGTTCGAAATTCAAATTGGAGATAGAGATTGGATTCTTTCTAGAAGTTTGACTTCTACTCTATAAATACTATTTTTAAGACAATTTTCAGAATGGTTTTTTGCCCTAATTTTAGAGGTAGCCGAAATTTCTCTATAGAAATTTTGGAAACAATTTTTCAGCCCTAAGAGTTAAGGCTGGCCGAAATTCTCAAGAGAGAGAGGAAGGAAAAAATTTTTCTCCAAAAAATTCCACATCGTGCATGTGATGGTGTTTGTGGAAATTTGAGTATTTATTGTAACCCGTTTTGTCTCATGTGTGCCCACACACACGTCTTCGTAGATTCTAGGAATTGATGTGGAAGACATTGGTTTTCTAAACACAATGATTGGAGCAAGGACTGTTCGTGGTCAAAGAACTCAAGTTATCATCCGAGTCGGCTTCCAGGTATTTTTTCTGATTGAGTTCTTGATATATATAAGTTAATGAGATTAATTTATTCGTGCATAAATTAATATAATCTATAGAGTATCTCAAAAGTTTTATGAAAATTTTTGTTATACACGATCCGCCTCTCCCCCGCGCACCACCACGCTTCCGCAGCCAGATTCGATTCGGGCAACCAACAAATTCTTCTAATAATCACGGTCCCATCTTTGGGGTCGTGACATTGGCATTGGGTCCTATTTGGAAAATTTGACAATCGGATTTCCAACCTCTTAGTTTCGTAGTATTTAGATCCCTATTTTTTCAAAATAAAAAATCAAATTGAATCAAAGAGCTATAAACACTAATACAAATATGAATAACTCTTAACGTATGAGAAGATTTGATCCCGACTATAAACTGAAACCATAAATAATTTCACATAAAGACACTCCAGGGGGAGAAAAGTGTACCAATAAATTCAAACAACAGAATTTCAATAGGTACACCATATATCGAGCATATATATGATTGTTTCAACAATATTTCTATAATTGATGAAAATTTCAAATGGATCAAAAATTAAGAGACCTACGACACAAGGCAACCATCACATCACAAAGAAATAAATCTAGCATACTAAGCACACAAATCAACCTCGAAGAGTAGGAGATACCACATTGTTATTACACAATTAAAATAAAATCACTACAAAAGTACAAAATTGGCACACATGGGTATTGTATCATTTTGATTACTAAACTTTTAATTTTGACAAATTACTCCTTGAACTTTTTTTAGCAGTTTTCGTAACGACTTGAAGAATTAAAAAGGTTTAATTATACAAATTGTGATATATTAGTGTGCCTAATTTAATTTTTGTAAATTAATCAAGAAATTTTTAATTATTTTTAGTATTTACAATTCTACCCCGAAAGTATGTGAGAATACATACTTCTATCATTTTCTTTTTAACTATCTTTTAATATTACCTTTTTCCTTTTCCTTATATTTATTTCCTTCTTTCTTTCTCTTATTTTTCTCTTTCTCTCATTCTCTCTCTCTTTCTCCCGTCCCTCTCTCACTCTCTCAAAGCTCTCTCTCTTTTTCTCTCTCTCTCTTTCTCTCTCTCTCTCTCTCCCTGCTCTCTTTCTCTCTCTCTCATCTCTCCCCTGCTCTCTTTCTCTCAAGTTTGTCTCGCTCGCTTCTCTAAGCGGATTTGGATTCAGATTTAAACCAAAAAGGATATTTTCAAGCAGTTTTCAACACTACAGCAAAGATCAAGGTAAATACTTTGAAAACTCACTCTTGATCTCGGATTTTCTCTTGGTAATCTGGTTTTTTGGTTTGGATTTTGATGAATATAGATTTAAGTGTGATTTTTGAATGGGTTTTGATGAAACCATGATGGAATTTGGGGTTTTTTTTTATTATTTGAACTTGATTTAGTGATTGGAACTTGGTTTTGATGAATCTCCATGAAAATATCTTGAAATCGAACTTGAAATTGAAGGATTTGGCTTTGTTCTTCGCAATTTGGCCACTTTTTAGCCCTGACAGCTTCCCACCGGTCGACCGGTCATCACTCCACCAGCTGACCAGTGGAGTTACACTCCTCTATGACTGGTCGACATGTGCACACTAAATCCGGTCCAGAAATGCTTAAAAACCCTTGTTTGACCTCAAAATTCAATGAAGTACCAACTTAACTTCATTTGAGAACTTAAAGTGAGTGGATTAGCCACATTAATCCTTGTTCCCTTCCATTTCTCTTGATTGAATTATGATTCTCAAAGAATCACGATTTGAATTAAGAAGTTGTTTATAAACTTTGATTTTGAGTTAAGGCACACTAGTATGATATAATTGTACATAATTAAGCTAGATTGTTTAGAAGTGAGGTTTAAACTCTAAACCGTTGTTTTGGTGACAAAGCTAGCGGCGGGATCGAATATTGAGCTTCAAAGACGAGTGGGGCTAGGACGATAAGAAGCTAGCTGTGGAATTGCTATCTGAGAGGTAAGATGTTCTTGTCCACATCCTTGTTAGGCTGTTTTAAATGTATTTGGCCTATGAAAACGTTTTAAAAAATAAAAATGCATTTGAAATAATTGAAATCTAAAAAAGAGTTTTATATGATATTTTTTTAAAATGAGATATTTTAAGAGATATTTTAAGAAATGGTAACAACGCCGATGGCCTAGAAATCGAGATATGGATATCATATCCTTGGGGGCAGGACCCGAAACCCGTACGGGCCACTACGGTGGTGTTTGGCCTTGCAATCATAAATTACTTACTGATGCCTGAAACCGGAAATTTAAGTTTATTTTCCTTTCAAAAAAAAAAAAGATGTTTGGTTCCGGATGACATATTCGGACCCTGTACTTCTATTTATTTATTCAATTTTATAAATTATATCCTACTGGCCCTTTCGCTTGCTTTTCTTCTGTTTTAAATGTATTAAACCCCTCCCAGATGACGTTAGAAGTAGTGCTGAGTAGGTGGTGAGTACCGGTGAGGTGAGTCGATCTCAAGAAGTGAAGAAGTTATAATTTACTTCTCTCATTGCCACATGTACTAAGGCATGAATAAATTATGGATTGTAAACATTAAACTTTACTAGATTGTGGCTGATGTCAGTAATTTATTTTTCGGTACTGTTTATGTATGCACAATGTGAAAATCCTATGGATGTCAGAGGCTGACTTTTGAAATTGATTTGACTCTGATTGTGATTTTTTTTTTTTTTGTAAAGTCCGCCCCACTCTTTTCAAAAAACTCAATTTTTTTAAAATAGTAGGGTTTGTTTGGAAATTCATATACATACTATATTTGACTTTAACTTTAGTTTAATTACTTTATTAATTCGTGTTTAATTTCTAAACAAGCCTTCAAATCACCAACCCCTATTTGGGGCGTGACAGTTTCAATTCTAGCATTAAAATTAGTGAATAACTTTTAAAATTTCTCATTGACAATCACATATCAATCGCGGTAACTGAAATCTTTTCAAGAATAATTATATTAAATGCTAAATGTTCTAGTTTTGAAGGGTCTTTAACCATACTAAAGAAAATAGTTTGCATTTAATGTAACTATTCTTGTAAAAATTGTAGCTAATACGTAATTAGAATGTGATTATCTCTGTAAAATTTCAAAAGTCCGTTGTAAATTTTAGTATTAGGGATGAAAACAATGAAAAATTAAAAATTGAGAAAATAATTTATCAAAATTAAAAGTTCAGGGATTCAATACTAATAATTAGGAATTAACAATACTAATAACCGAAAAAAAAATAGAAAAAAAAAAAAAGAAGTCAAACGTATCAAAACGACCAAAGCACAGACAGCCAAAGCCTTACGTCGTCTCCCCTTCTTTGCACCATTTTTTTCCCAAAAAATAATAATGATGTGTATAAACATGACGAGGCCAGTCACCGCCATAGCTGTTGCTCATCAGATTCTCTCTAATTTCCAAAAAAAAAAAAAAAAACCCATTTCTTAACTGCTCCTTTCATTGAACCATACATTTTTCCTTTATCTCTCATTGTTTTTATTATTTTTCATTCTCTTTCAAGTTTCAACGATCTCTGACCTCCATTTTTTCAAACAATATTCGCTGTTCATATATTCTTTTTGGTATAAAAAAGTTCGTCATTGCATCTTCTTTGAAGAAAGGATCGTACTTAATCTTCCCAGGCTCTGGTGTTTCTCTCTCAAACATGGTATTTTAAACTCTCTCTATCTCTTTGTGCAACGAGAATGATTTTTTAATGTTTAAAGGAAATTTGATTTGGATTTTGCTTGTTATTATTATTATTATTCTTTTGTAATTTTTTTTTTCTGTTTTTCAATTTCATTTATTCGTTTTGCATTTCCTTGTTGTGTATATACATACATACTGTTTTTTTTTAATTATTATTTAAGATAGGTGCTCTAAAGTTCCGATTTTGACTTTTTAAGTTGCCATGCTCAATAGGAAACGGGGACCATATTTGCTTTCCTTCTTTTCTTTCTTTCTTTTTTTTTTTTTTTTTTTTGTGTGGGGTTTTCTTTTGTTCATATTAAATTGGAGTAATGTTTTGGTAGTGGACGACCCGGTTTTGAGTTGATAAGGCACCTTTATGCGCAATAAACAGTTTTTGGTTCTGTTCTTAACAAAGCTACATGTTTCTAATATGGGGTTCTATTTTTTTTTTTTTTTTTTCTGGGTCGTAATTCATTTTGCTTGTACTCATCATTTTATCTAAAGTCTGCTTAATTATACTGGTGTTGTATGGCATTTATCTAAAGTCTTAAAAGTTTTCCGTCTGCTTAATTATATATACTGGTGTTGTATGGCATCTAAAATTGGGTATCCTAAAATCACATTAAAAGTCTAAAATAATTGGATGACCAGTTCTTGTGTCACCATCTTTTAGTTGACATCTCCATCATCACGACTTCAAAACAGTTTCAGTTTTGACATTCATATCCTGATATCCATTACCATTCAAAGTGACATTTCCATGTAGATTATTCTAAGAGTACTGTTCTAATTTTCATATCAATGTTGATTATTGTTCATGCCTCACTTGGATTCTCAATTGACGATGTTGGGATTTGAGGGCCCAAGTTCAGGAAAGTGGTGAATTGTTTAGTGTAAGGAGAAAATTGGCCGTGCTTGGAGTTGGTTTTGTTTTTGTTTTTCACGTTTTGGAGAAAGAAAAAATGAAAATGGGAGAGAAACGGCGTTTGGCACTATTAAAGACAAAAAACGGAAATGAAAACGATTTTTTGGTTTAGTGTAAAATGGGAGAGAAATAAAACCGACTTTTAGTCGTTTTTTCATTTTTTGTTTCCGTTTTCTCCTCTTTCAAGCACAGAGAGAGAGATTAATGGATTTTTTTATACTGAAAACAAGCTCTTGATAAAACTACCAAATGCATTTTTAAAAATGATTTCTGTCTGAAATTGAAAATATTTTCATTTCCATTTTCATACAAAAAACAAAATCATTTTGGAACGAATTCCAAACGCATCCTATATATTCCATTATCTGGTTGTTCTGCTACATGTTAATTATCATGGTGGGGTTGCTAAAAGTCTTGATTTGGTGCATGTTATGACCACTGATGTAAGGTTTAACTTGGTTCTAACAAAGAGCATCAAACACTTTGTTGCGATTTTTGAACTAATCCACACACACACACACACACACACACACACATATATATATATTGTGGGAGTGATTCTTATGATCGTTTCTTTGTATATATTTTTCCTCTGCTGGAAGATCCTAGCTCATAGCTCAAATCCTGAGTCTGTTTGCTGAATAAGAATGTACAATGCCGCCAGAATGTATTGAGCGGTTGTTTTATTGTTGTTGGCGTCTCTTGTTTATGTACTATTAATAACTACTATCTGGTTAGTGGTTACCTTTGAATCTCGTGAGCAATAGTGCTTAGAAAATTGAGCAAATAACTTTTGCTATGTAAGTATGAATGTTCTATAGCTTTACTGCTATGGAAGTTTTGTGCTTTTACATATCACTCAACTTAATATCTATAGCTTTCTCGCGAACAGAAACCAGTATTTAAGTCCTTTATTATTTTTTTATTTTTTTAAAAACATGTGATTTGAGGGCCTTTCCAACATGACAATAATGTAATAAATATACTCCGGGGGAGTTTCTTGTCGTGTTTTTATTTTTTCCCGATGACGCAAATGTTGAACAACTTGGTGTCTTTGAACATGAAATTTTCCAAATTCTTTTAAAACAAGGGACCTCTTTCATTGCTATGTAAACTTTGTGCACAAAAGTTGTTCTATAATTAGTTACATCCTATTGCGGAACTGTGTTGACATGATGAATAATGAGTTTAGTGCATGTTTCATTCATACCTTTGCTGGAAAACATACATTATAAGCAAACCATTGACCGTGAAGCTTCAAATGTGTATGTATATGTTGTAAAAAGTGTATGCATTCTTGCATGTAATTATTCCGGGGTGTATACAGTATATCAAGGTTGCCAATTCTTTTTCGATGATTTATACTAGGTGGTTTATTGGTTCATATCGACATTTTTTTTCCCTTATGTATTAAAGATCTGAGTTGTGGCACTCTCTTATGGAACTCAAAAGTTACTACATCGTCATTACCTTCAGCTGCAGCAATGCCTTTTGTGTTTGTTCTTTTTGCCCTTTGGATCAAAATCCTGATACTTTGTTGGTAATTTTTGAAGTCGTCTGAAGAGAAATCAACTTCTACGCTTACGATTGGAGGGCATTTTGGGACCCGCAATTCTGAACCTGCACGAAGTGGATCATTTGGTAGGATAAGCAGTGCCAGTTCTTCAATAAGAAGGCGATCTGTTAGTTTATCTGGTCTTCAAACCTCTCAAATAGATGATAACGTTGAAAGCGAGTCTGTGTCAGAGGCGGGCGATATTGGGGACAGGGCTCTTCATAGCAACAGGCACAGCAGGAGTGGCAGCCTCCGCTTTTCCTTGGATCACGTGTCAGAGAATGGGGTGGTTATTTCTATTCCAGAAGATACGCTATCACAATCCCGTGGGTTTAGCACTCATGATCCTGCAACAATGAATTCTGTCTCCCCCATTCTGCCATTGCCAGAAGAACTTCTTTCCCCTCTTTCAACTGATCCCGTGGTGCAAGCTGAAAACAATATGCAAGTAAGTTTCTGGTTGCTATTTTTGGGTCCATTAGTTTGATAGGATTCTTCAAAAATGACAAAAGTTAAAGTTGTCGATGATATAACAAATTTAGTTTTACTTTTCTAGCATAACATGGGGGACGCTTACATTATTTCATGTACGTGTTTTTTTATTTCATGTAAATGTGTTTTATAATTTATTTTTTCTCTTAGTGCAGGATGATAAGAAAGATATGCCAAAGCTGTTGGAGTACTGTTCATGTCTCATTCATTTAGCCGTTTTTGGCATTTTGGGGGTAAAATTCTTGAGCATCGTTCTCTTTCAATATTAATTGCCGCCTTTTACATTTCATAGCTTGGTGGTACGTGTTCGCAACAAATATGTTTATTGTATAAATGACATTTATATGTTTATTCTGAATAAATATGTTGGTGCTCTTGGATCATGATAAGTGCAATTGAAGTACTGAGATTGCAACTCTTTGTCCAGGTACTCCAAAAGATGTGCTATTTTAGTTTTTATTTTTTTATTTTTTTTTTAATGTCTTTTAGTGTGAGATGTTCCTTCTCTGTCTTTTGCCTTCTGCTTTGCTGCGGAATGTAATACCTTCTGACTTCCGAGTCCTTGATACAGAGGACTCTGCTTTCCTACTGGTTGAGTTTGACTGATCAAAATCATTGTGTTTTGGGTTGGTTTAACTGCTAATTTACATTCCATTTGTTGTAGACCTGGATGTCAAATGCTATGGCTGCATGCATGAAGATGAAATAGTTCCTTCGTTTTGCTCTTTTTTTTTTTTTTTTTTTTTTTTGAAGATAGAGGTAGTTCTTGCTACGAAGGGGACGTGAAGAAAGTACCCTCTTAGTTAAGTTAGACGCTCATGACTCGTATGTTGTCTGTTTGTGATTACAACTTGATCAAATAATTTTGTACAGCATGTATTGTTAGCTTTAAATAAAGTTCCAATCAGCAAATCTTGCTTGCTACAACATGCAGGTCTTGACGAGGTATCTACTGCAGAAACTTTTCGGCCCTGGCATTGCCGGAGTTACAAGCAATGAAAGCATTCTTTATCTTGACCTTCCTTCCAATATGGTCCCTCTCTTTCTCCCTATATATATACATACATGTGTATATATATTTATATAAATGTATATAATGCACACTCCTAGTTAGTTTTTTGTTGCATCAGTCTCTTGCTCTTTATATTATTCTCTCGGAGAGTACATTGTGCAGTTTCAAGTATTAGGAGGAACTTGTATTGTAGAACGTGTCCTGATTACTGTAGTTGAAATTAATTCTCACGAACATGGATTCCTGTGGTTCTACCATCTTATTGATGGTATTAATGCAAGATGCTCTTCTAAACCCACATTTTCTGGTATTCTCCCAGGTTGGCTCTTTTTTGATGGGATGGTTTGGTGTTGTCTTCAAAGGAGATATATCCCGTGTGTCCGACTTTTTAGCCATTGGTTTGACAACTGGTTACCTGGGAAGCCTTACCACTTTCAGTGGCTGGAATCAGAAAATGCTTGAACTTAGTGTTGATGGCCATTGGGTTTCATCTATCCTCGGGTTTCTCATAGGTAAGATGTCAATAATCTAAGAATCATGTCGCAACAACTGGTGTAGATACATGGCCATGACTAGCGGCAAACTTTTAACATCTGTGTCCAGCCTGAATTCTGGTGCAAGCTCTATTTACTCGGAACAAGACAAGCTTATCCCTTATATAGTTTCTCTGCAGGCTTGTTTCTTGCTGCCTACTCCATAATTTTTGGAGTCGAGACAGCTAAGGGTTTTAAGCGGCTTCTTAAAAAGAAAATAGCAAATCAAGAATGTTGGATTCTCAATTCGAGCAGCAACTGGAGAGTAGACAGTTGCAAACGTCACGTGGCAGTTATGGTGGTGTTCTTGCTGATGTTAGGTCTGCTGTGGAGCATGAGCGGCGTATTGATGAGAGAGGAGTTTAGCAGCGGCAGTGATGAGGCTCAACTATGGTTTGGTTGCATAGTTGGGCCTCTGGGTGTGTGGACCAGGTGGTTCTTAGCTCGACTTAATGGATGCGGCCTAGGAAATGCAGGTTACTTGAAATGGATTCCTTTTGGTACCCTGATTGCCAATGTCTCTGCAGCTTGCATCATGGCAGCACTATCTACGATTAGAAAAGCGGTGCGTATCTCTGACGTGATTTCTTTCCATAACACCATACCCTTCTGTGACACCTTTATCTCTGTTGAAGTACGACCCATGTTAACAAGATGAATTTTCTCTCTTATTTAAGGACCTTAGGGTTGACACTTGAGGCTCACTAGCATTGACAAAATTTTCATGGAATTGTTTGATTGTTTCATTTTAAAGGGCCATTTGTAGAGTTTTCTGTTGGTTTTTCTCGGTACTTTATTGACCTTTTACTTTCAATACGATTTCGTAGAGAATAGGGTAGTTAAAGTTTTAGCACCCCACCACCAAAAGAAAAAAAAAAACAAAAAAAACAAAAGTTAGCCCCCCAAAAAGACATGCAATCGTTGCAGCTATATTACAGTTGAGTGGAGTCTTATTCCGTTTTCATTTTGCACCCTTACCTTAAAGTCTAACATTATGGGCGTTGGGAACATTATAGATTTGCAGATTTCTAAGAGGTTGAAGGTTTTGTCAATAATGAAAAAACACGGTTTGTTTAAGTAAACGGAGAGAGAACAAGATGAGGGTTGAGGAGGCCAATTTTATATGATGGAGTAGGGTATATATCATATGATTTTGATGTCTTAATCATTCTCTTCTACGCGTTAAACTCTTTCAGCAATAATATTATACTTGCAAATAACTCAACTTAAGAGGTTTTTTCTGGTTGGTACAGGTAAATTCCAAGACTTCTGATACCATCGTAATAGGGACACAACTTGGGTTTTTGGGTTGTTTGAGTACAGTTTCTACATTCATTGCCGAATTCAATGCAATGAGAGAAAGTAAGCATCCTTGGAGAGCATATGCATATGCCATAATCACTATATGCTTCTCATTTGCCTTGGGAACCCTCATCTACTCTGTACCTGTTTGGACTCGAGGATACAAATAGGACTTTTTTTTTTTCCTTCTTAATTATGTTCTAGTCGACTTGTGACCGAGACGAAAATCTAATGTCACACCATAAATCTTATACTATAAATTTACACCATTTATAGAAAAATAAAATCTTTTTATCTGTCTCTGATACTTTTTTAACAGGAAGTCTACAAAGTAGTTGAGGGTCTGTTTGATTCACGGGTTTAAATCCATAGTTTTGATTTTGTTAAGAGTGTTTTCTCTCACAAAAAAATTGAATAAAAAAATTCCCGCCAATTGTATATGTTGACAAGATAATTGGAATTATAAGTAATTCATGAATAAATAGTTTCATAACCCCTTTAGAGAATTAACTTTAGCTTCTGGGTGTATAAAAACGCAAATCACAATACCATAAAAAGTAAGAGGCAAGTCAAATACCAGGAAAGAAAATTGTAGAAATCCTCTGCGACTTCCAAGTTCGAAGGAGTCCAAGTTCTGAAAAGAAGATGCAGAATTCCATTAAGGCCAAATAAAAGTCAAAAGAATGTGGATGAAAACTAACGGCAGAAGTGATTATAAAAGTCAAATGCATATCATAACCACTACCTAAAGGCTCATCAGAAGTGATTATATATTTTATTTTCTATAACCAAAGTGGATGTATGTATATATAGATCAGTAATGTGATATATATATATAACTTCTCAGACACACATAATGCGTTAAATTAACTTGGTTGAATTTTTGACTTGCGTAAATTTCCTTGTCAAAATCCGAATGAAGAAAGACACTCAAGACACCAAGTTGGTGAAGAAGAAAATTTGAAGGTTTATTATTATTTTTATTATATTATTTAGAAAAAATAATAAATTAATTCTTTCCAGTAGTGCTTCCCCAGAAAGACCTAATCAATGGTTTAACTACCTTATGTAGTCTCCATTTCATATTACAATCTCAACGTTGATGCTCTTCCAATTAAAAGAAAACGAATAATATCATAATCACGATCATAATCATAATAATAAAGGGCCGTATAAGGAAATTTTCTTGCAGCTAAGAACTGGAATTTAGACCACTTCTGTGGAAGCATATTACATGTCTGCGTGTGTGTGGAATATTAATGTATAAGATATTATCTAATGCAGACTATTTTGTTTATTTATTTATATATATATATATATATATATATATATATTTTTTGGAACCTACCGTCAGTTTGTTATAAGGTAACAATACAAAAACAAAACTGTCCAAATGTATGCTTTTCTCTCCTTGTTTTTATAATTATATTATATCATTCTTATTATTGTTATTTTGGACTTTACAGTGACTATATAATTAGTTTAGGTAACAAATGAACACAAAATTGTACAATTTGCATCTTTTTCTTTGTTTTCAGATGTATCTGTTGGGTTGGAGCAACCCCAGTTGAGATCTCAACCAGTTAATATTTTGACAATGAGTAGCATATAGTTTTCCAAAAATAATATATAAATAATCCAATGCATTTCAAAGCAACTTACATTGCCATCGCTACTAACATTGTATGTCACTAGTACTCGCCGCTGTGGCGGCGACACTCAGCCGTTCATTGTTTGCGGGCCCTCTGTTCGTATGCAGGAGGGTGAAAGTTCATAAATTTTCTGATCATTCTTCCATGGCAACTTAATAGCTAGTCATTTCTTTGAGCTTTGCTGGTTCAACCAATTATGGTGAGCTTTAAACCCTTTTTTCTCTTAATCTCCCTAATATTTCAATATGCTAAATTAGCAGTTTTCCCTTTTTCTTGTGATCTTCATACTCTAATTTATACCTTTGTATTCGTTTTATTTTTATATAATCTGCCACACTTAGGGTTTCTTAGGTAATCTTAGTTGATTTTGAATTAGCTTTGCAGACTAAGAAATATTAGAACAAATTATTAAAATTTTTGGATTCGTGCAATAATTTAGACAATGCAACCACTTTGATCAATGTTTTCTCTAAAGAAGTTTCAAATATCACTGCTTGTTTGATAGTGCATTTTTTTTCCTAAAGCAATAACGCAAAGTGAGATTAAGGTGGCATGTTATTTTCCAACTACACCCCTATTCAATTAGATGCTCAAAGACAAGTTAGGGGCTCAAACTTTAGATTATATTGTATTGTTTTTTAACAAGGTCAAGTGCCTTACCACATCAGTCACCCCTTACGGCGTTTGATAATACATCAGTACTGATGTGCTGTCACATTACATTACGATATAATACCTAGTTATAAGTCACACCTTTTGTTATCGGATATCATTGCTCAATTTATTGCATTGGAGAGTTAAAAAATTTGTCTACAGCGTAAATTCATTTTTCTATGATACTACTTTGATTTTCATAAGATTTGTAATTTGCCATATTAATTCGTTGAAAATAATGCCAAGTAATACCATAAATGAAGCAATTACTATTGTTTGTTCCATACTAAGATCAATGCATTTTCTTTTCTTTTTTGCAGTCATCCCAATCCCAAGAGATATCAAGCCCCAAAACAGATAATCATGAAACAGATAATCACTATGATCATGTATCGCATACCAACAGTGTAGCTCTTACCATTCCACAAGATACAACCTCATCATTGCCAAAGGAATTTGCTTCTCCTACTTCAGTGGATTCTAAAGTGCAACAACTTGAACAAAAAACGGTGGTGAGAAATTATTGTCTTAAAGTTTTTTCCTGTTGGTCATAATCCTTAAAAGTGTTCGAATGTTTTGTTCAAATTTGACTTTCATGAGCAAACCATATTATTGACTTGTGCAACTTCAATATTTTTATTTTTTATTTTCTTGTTTTTGTTTATAGGAATTGCCAATAGTGCTGGTGTACGGTTCATGTCTCACTCATTTAGCCGTTTTTGGGATTCTAGGGGTAAGTTGAATGGTTCTCAATTATTCTCTCCTCAGAATATGTCTCTTTTTTTTTTTTCAAATGTTTTATAGTCTATGTAATGTCGTTTTTCTCGCCCCCTTTTTGCTGATGAACAGACCTTAATTTGATTTACTTGAACATTGATTTTGTTCCCAGGAACCGAATCGTTTATGTTTTAGTTATTTGTAATTCTAGTAAGTTAAGCTTGCTTAATGCTCTTAATTGCACAGATTAATTATATGGAAAATATTATGCAGATCTTGACAAGGTATTTGCTGCAAAAACTTTTTGGCCCTGGAGTAGCTGGAGTGACAAGCAAACTAAGCATTCTTTATCCTGACCTTCCTTCTAATATGGTCTCTTTCTCTCTATCTATTGAGGCCCCCTATGGTGCGAAATCTGGTCGTATCATGCAATGGATTTCTAAGCGTTAATGATGGTCCAAATTAAAAGATTTGCACCGTTTTAAGTTTATTGTTGTTCAATTCCACATAACAAAATCAGCTCAAATTTTAACGGTCCAGATTGATTTTTTCTATCATTCAACAACTGATAAATTGCTTGTACCGTACGGCTAGTAGTCTTACCATAGTCCATCTGTCCCTAACTTTGGACCCTTTAATATTGCACATAGCTTTTATAACTCAGCTCATGTTGTAGTAATTCATAATCAGAGAGTACTGATAAATATACATGTTATTTTCAACCCTTTTTTATTTCTTATTTTTATGCATTATTCCAGGTTGGTTCTTTCTTGATGGGGTGGTTTGGTGTTGTTTTCAAACCGTCCATATCTCACGCTTCAGATTTTCTAGCCGTTGGTCTGACTACAGGTTACCTAGGAAGCCTTACTACTTTCAGTGGTTGGAACCAGGAAATGATTGAACTTAGCTTTGAAGGCCAATGGGTTTCGTCTATGCTTGGTTTTCTCATAGGTAAGTTTGTGTAAATATTGTAAGCAATCATTTTGCAAAAAACTAATTTAATTTTCATCTATACCTAGCCATTAATTTAAAATAAGGTTGTACTTTCATGTCATATTAGTCCCCAAACTTTATTAATAGGAAGGGACTTGAAGGAGACTATCTATCAATAAGCATTAGTGAAATCACTGGTTGTAAGAAAAATATTGTTAGATATGATTAACAACGAACTTATTTTAGTAAGTTTAAGGAATTAAACGAGAATTTCACAGCAATTACGGATTAAAGCGCGATTTCTGTTAAAATTAGGGGATGAACCAAAGAAATATTAAATCCTAAACTTAGAGACAAGCACATGATCTCTTTTTGTTCGCAGGTTTGTTTCTTGTTGCATACTCCATAATTTTTGGAGTGGAGACTGCCAAGGGTTTCAAGCTGCTTCTCGGAAAGATATTAACAAAATTTCCGATTTCGAATAAGACCTGGAGGGTTGACAGTTGCGAGCGTCATGCCGTGGTTATGGTCTTGTTCTTGGTGATGCTATGTTTGGTATGGAGTGTGAGTGGAATCTATGTTAGAGAGGAGTTTAGGGAAGAAAATGGTGAGGCTCACCTATGGCTGGCATGCATAGTTGGACCTTTAGGTGTATGGATGAGGTGGTTCTTAGCTCGGCTGAATGGCCATGGTCTAGGAAAGGCGGCTTTGCTCGGGTGGGTTCCGTTCGGTACTCTACTCGCCAATGTCTCCGCAGCCTGTCTCATGGCATCACTTTCAACTGCTAAAAAAGCGGTATGCAATATGGCTTCTATGGTGTGATTTCTTTTGTGTAGTATAGACCTACTTAGAATGTTATGACGAGTTTATTTTCGATAGAATGAATTTATAGTCAAGAAAAGACTTTGCAACTTTTTGGTTCATAGGTATAAACACAATTCAAATCTTTTAGTTATAGTGTTTCATCTTATAAAAATTTAAAATTTTTGTTCAAAACTATGAACCAAACAAATGTTTATACATTTGGGAGTGCTTTATTAAGAAGGCTTTCAAGGTTAGAAGGATTTTTTTTCTTTATAGTAAAACACAGTTTATGATTGCTTTGATTTTGATCTAATTAACAGATTATTATTATTTTTTATGTCCTGTGTAAATCTTTTTTCTTTTTTTTTTTTTTAAGAAGTGTTTTCTGGTTGGTACAGGTGAATACCAAGACTTGTGATACCATCGTAATAGGAATACAACTTGGGTTTTTGGGTTGTTTGAGTACAGTTTCTACATTCATTGCTGAGTTCAATGCAATGAGAGAAAGTAAGCATCCTTGGAGAGCATATGCATATGCCATGATCACCATATGCATCTCATTTGCCTTAGGAATCCTCATCTACTCTGTACCTGTTTGGACTAAAGGATACAAATAGCCTTTTTTTTTTTAATAGTAATATTTTGGGTTTTTAGTACAATTGTCCCCGAACTTTTCATGGTTTAAAAAATTACCCTCAAACTTTTAATTCTGACAATCAACCCCTCAAACTTATAAAACTGTTGTAATGTGTCATATTTTATTAGATTTAAGGGATTAAAAGTTGAAGAATTGAAATACTTGTGTTACGTTTGAATTGGGATTTTAGAAACTCTCGTCGAATGTGTTTTTTTGACACTAATTTAACACAATTAGCATCAAAATGGAACATATTGCAATAATTTTATAAGTTGAAGGATAACTTGTCAAAATTAAAAATTTAAGGGACAAATTGTTAAAGCCGTACAAGTTCATGGAGCAAATGCATGTGAAATTATACCACTGATTGGTGACATTATATTAGGTGCACTTTTTTAAGATTGGAGATGTAAGAACCCAAAAATCTAGCTGTTATAAAGTTACTCCATTTGTAGACAAGGGAAATCTTCATCTCCAATGATTTTTAACTGGAACTCCACAAAGTAGCTGAACACAAATTTTGAATAATAGACTGTGCGCTAACAAATTATAGCTATAAATTATAGTTTTTATTATCAAAGTATCATATTCATTTTGGCAGCAATGGCTATAAAATAGAGTTCTTATTATCAAATCAAGTATTCTTGCAAAAGACCAACATTGACATATACATTAAAACATAACCACTAAGCACTTTTTTTTTTTTTAATAAAACCTAACCACTAAACACTTTTGTTTTTTAATATAACCAGGAAATTAAAATGAAATAGCTTGAGTACTACTCATTGGGGAATTTTGTTGAGCTTGCAGTTCATTTCACCGATTCGAGTTTATAATTCAAGTTTTGCTACAGTAAAAAACTCTCAGAAACAGTCATATTTAACTTTTTTATTACAGTAAAAAACTCTCACATAAAATCACATCTCAACTCGAATCAGCGAACTAAACGGACCTTGATCATCAACGAGTTTTGGGTGGGGCCCAACTTCAAAGTCCGGAGGAGGTTCCAAGAAAACTGGCCAAGACATTCTTGTCTTCTCTTTGTGCAATGTGCTTCTGCGGAGCACACTCTTGTATTTTCCCTTGCTAATTATCTGCAATTTCCGTTATGTGGAATTTCGTTAGGGATGTTATTGTGAAAACAGTTTTCCATCATTTAGTGCACTCTTGATCTGAATTGTTGCGATCATATAGGCAAGTACGCCACACCAAAAAACAAAGAAGTCTCTTTTTTTAGGGCCGACTTCTCCTACTTTGGCACTTTTATTTACCCGTTCAACTTGCAAAAACATTCCAATATTGCAGCCCAAATTCATAATACATCTTAATTGGTGAGGAAAAGAAGAAGGTTTATTATGGAACTCAAAAAGTTCAACAGACAATTTGTTAAAACATAAAAAGTACTTCAAGGTCCTCGCTAAACATGCGAGGCTCACACGAGCATTTCTGTCACAAATTAAATGGAGTTATAAGTTTAGGTCAAATGGTAACGGTTTGACAAATTAAGAGAGGATCTTCAAAATTTAAAATTCATGATAATTTGCTAAAACACAAAAAGTTCAGTGAATTATAGTCCTTCCTTTTAAACTATGCACATATTGCCACAGTATCATTTATAAATCCAATCATATTTACTTCATGTTAGTAATGTCAAGCATATATAAAATTTATCTTATGTTGAATGCCATACGCACACAACACACACCAACCTTCCCATGAGATCCAAAAGATGATCAAAACAATATTTACTTAGGAGATTGGAATTAACAAAAACATATTGTTAGTCAAAAAAAAAAAAAGAAACAAGCAAGCTAGAAGATAATTAGTACCTCAATTTGGTCACCAATATGGATGATGAGGGCATTAGGAATGTACTTGACATCATACGAATGGCCATCTTTGAAGGCCTGAGGCCATTGACATGGTTGGAAACAAGAATGGTGAGGGCACACATATCGGTATGAGGCGCCACCCCAAAGCCAGATCAGGGCGTGGGCACGGCAGGTAATAGTTGATTTTCAAAAGGTAAACCAACTCATCTCCCCCTGCCGCCTCTTTCAACTCATCATTTTTTAGCCCCAACCCTAAAGACAGGCTCTTGAATAGCTTATCCGGCATACTCTTTGTTAGTATCCCTAACAATATCATATTAAACAGTAAGACTATATTATACCATAAAACATATAATAATGAAGAGAGAGATAATATAAAGCTATATATATGTATCATATATATGTGTATCAAAAAAAAAAGAAAGATATACGTGTATCTCTTTGTTGCCTGTATAATTAATAAAAGTACGAAAGGGTGCATTAATTCGGCACTGTGATAAGTTAATGGCTTCGGAATTTCAGCAAAATGGAGGAGCTAAAGGCTTCAATACTTATCAATTAAAATATCGATTGAATTGTAACTTAAGTATAAAGTTATTAAAGTAGTTTGGCTTCCAAAAAAAAAAAAAAAAAAAGTTATTAAAGTAGTTTATAACGTACCGTTTCTGTAGTTCTGGACTTCTATTAGTAATGCTTAATTTTCTCATAGCATCGTGAAAAAAACTTCTTTTGATTAGCAATATCTTTCCTCTCTAGCAAGCCATACAATTGTAAGTTAGGAAGAAACTCGTATTATTAATCTGAATACATACTAAATCCAATCCCTATTATCAAAAAGAGAATTTCTAACTTGATCACAAACTGGTAATATATCTTTGCATTGTAGAAGACATAAAGTACTTACGGGAATAAATTTTGTGAAAAGATCTATATTTAGAGGTTCGTACCTAAAATGTATTGAAGGTTAATTTGTTGGGAGTCAGCATACGCGCATGCATCTAGAGAATATGGTCACGAATACATAGAGAGATCAATTAAAAATGAAATGTAATGTACATTTATGTATTTATATATGTATATGTACATGAATATGTATCTGTGCGTATACATATGTATATAAGATGTATATGACGTTCTATATATGTATATTCAACAGATCATAAGAATTTAAACGAAGAAAGAAAAAGGAAAAAAAAGAGAGAAAGAAACGCAAATATGTTTACAAGTTTTCTAACCTGTAAGGAGGGTTTTTTGACCAGAAGTTGTAATTAATAGCGGAAGGTGAACTTGATGTTACATGGAAATGGAATTCATAAATTTCTACTCGCGGGAATCATGCTTATGTTTGTTTGGATTCGCATAACTTTTATGATTTTATGTCATCCGAAGTGCAATTGAGACAAAGGCTAATTGTAATTCTATATCTAACTCCTTAAAATCTAGATCCATATTTCACAATCTCGAGTTCAAAAGAAAGAACAAATCACTCTAAAGTAATATCTGATTAGGAGTGAGGAGCATTATTGCAAATGAACAAAAAACCCGAGAAATTAGCATCATTGGTTCCCGGATTTTTTTAATACATGACAACTTGGTCTCCATTCTTTTAATTAAGCACGCCGGATTATGATCGTTCCTACCTTTAGAACGTTGTAATAGAATTTAGAAAAAATAAATGACGATAAAGATAGACCAAAGCGTAACTCGCTTACGTAATAACTATACATAATCTGAAAAAAGCACCCCAAGAGATTCAGATGGAATTGTAATTGTACTTCATAATCCTGTTTACGTTCACTTATAACCTCTTATTGAGGCATATCTCGACAGTCACACACCGAATAAGTACAGTCCTAATCGTGTGCATGGTGAATATTTAAGACAATAATACGTGCACTTCAAGTACCAGCACAGTGCCCACACTCAGCCGCAGCAGGAACCACAGGCAGGTAGAGAACCTGGGAATTGAACCAAAGCATTTAAACTAAGAAAGTAGTTGAAAAATGTTCAAAATCAAAGGGAATTATAGAGGTGAACTTACTATGGTCATTCCCTCGAACACTGTCTAATCCCCGCACATTATCGAGTCCACCACGCGGGCCGCGTGGACCACCAGGTCCACCACCATATGGTCCTCCCCCTGGGCCACCACCGTCCCACTTCTTTCCAGAACCAGAGCCTTTCCTGTAGGCATCTGATTTTTCCATCTGCCATATGGAAGTACTAATAAGATGAGCAGTTTCTTATAACTAAGACGACCAAGCCAATACAAAGGAACAAAGGAACAAAGGAGAACACAGTTACCGAGAACATGGTTGCAAAAAACACGCCTATGAAGTTAATAATGGACCAAAAGAAGTCAGTTATTGTACTGAGGCGCCATATTGATCGCTTCGATTTCATAACACCTGCAGAAACATGGGATTCTTCAGCCATTACAGTTCATCATAACAGGAGAGGAAAGAAAAATAGACAGCACTTTTCTCTCGGACACATCACATTATAAATCGTAATTCTCACCAAAAAGACCAAAACCAGACATGTCTAATTTAATGATATAAAGCTATGCTGTTGGCAACTGTTAGGAATCCAATCACAAATCACATTCCCACCTAATGCCAATCACAATTCCACCCAATGAAACCAAGTGTCATCTATAGTGCATAGCACAGCAAAAATTAGAAACTTCAATTATAAATAACATAACACAAAAAAGATTCCCAATTTTGGCTTCTCCAGGGTGTGTATTATAAAAATGACATAATAAAATACTGAAAAGGATTTCCTGAACCTAGAAAGGAACTATTTTTTCATACTCTGATTCTCTGAAACGTAAAAGCACTACTTAGCCCAACATAAACAGAAGAAAATCAGTTTTGTAGCTAATCAAAGCAACAGGGATAACTAAGAAAACAAGAGATATCATCGGCGGGTCCATAACTAGAATTTAAGAACATCAATTCTGACAAGCGAGGGATGTCAGGGAAAAATGTGGACCCCCATTTGAGGACAAAGAAAATTAGTCTGCGCGAAGTAACAAACTAACAAGAAATCAGTATGAGGCTCTAAAATTTTTCCATATAATGTGATATTTGAAAGACTGAAGAGAAAGAAAAGGAAATGTACACACAATAAACACATCGAGGAAAACCACAAGCGCATGTTTACTAACTTGTAATGAGAAAGAAAAAGGTGTTTGCATGAAAAGAATAGGAATAAGAAAGGGGAACATTGATTCCTTTTCTATTTTCTAGCGTTTATTTACTAGTAATTAAGTCGAATACCTTTTAGTGTTTATTAACTTTATTTAGGAATAATAATCCTAATAGCTTAAGTACTAAAATGTCCTTGTAGATGTAAGTATTAGTTATACATTAGTAAGTGTAGAGAAGTAATTTTGTAGTTTATTCCAATTGAAAGGAGATGATGGGCAACTTAGGATTGGCTTACCCATTCCCCATTCCCTACATCATTTTAACTCACCAAAATAACCAAATTAGCGTTCCACATTTTGTAAATAAACACACAAATAAACGGAAATTTCCCATTCCTGTTCACCATCATGACAAGTAACCATATTCTAAGCTTTTCCCACAAATGGTATAAACTCTCAAGTACCATTATTTGAACATCTATCATCCAATCCAAACTGATGTAGTCAAAACTCTAAAACCAGAAACTTTGATCCATAATAACATATGATGAGACAGAGAAAATTTCCGAAATTAAAAGAAGTCATAGTCCTTATTAAACCCAATGAAATACAAGAAATACTTTAGTGTAAACTAAAGAATTAGGATTTGAAAGGTGAGGAATTAATTTATGATTGGGAGATTGCAGCTTATATATACAAGAAAGGCACACGAGAAAAACATGTATCAAAAGCAAACAATAGCATCAATATTTTGCAACCAAAGAACGCAAAAAGACAGTAATGTACTTACAACACGATATTACCCCGTAATTCGTACCCCGCAAATCACATTCAAAAGCATCAATTTCAGAGACAAAAACCATAGATTGCTATTATAGTCTTAGAAATAGTACAAAGTACAAAGAATAGAAATGCCAGACGAAGAGTTAAGAATAAAATTTTGTTCATGACGTGTGAACAGAAATAGTAGTTAAATATCAATTTCAGAATATGGGCTAGAGTAAAACTCCAAGCAAATGTACACTTTTTCTTTTTCCTGATCAGCAGCAGAATTTGAATTCCATTTTATAGCGTGAAGCGCAAGTGCCACAAGATACGTCCAAAGAACAAAAATGGCCAAAAAAAAAAAAAAACTCCAGGAAAATGGTCATTAAGCTATGAAATCTCCAGGAAAAAAGACATGGACCAAGTTAACTAACAAACCAAGTACAGATTATCAAAAAAAAAAAAAAAACACAAAAAAAAAACAAAAACAAAACAAAACAAAACAAGTATTAGAAATATCAAAGTGCACCACCAAAAACCAAAGAAATGATTTCAAAACAATAGACTATATTCAAAAACTCCAATGTCCCTAAAGCAGCTTTGCAAAGAAAGAACAATGGAACAATCTTTTTTTTTTTTGCTAAGAATGCAATGAAAATTATTGATTACGTAAATTTATGAACTATTTTGTTAATTACGGTGAATTTACAAAGCCCAAGTATAAATAGGTCAAATTTCAATCATGCCCAAAATCGAAATTCAATATCCATGGACAAAAAAGGGGAATTCGATCGGCAATATAATGCAATCAATCATAGATACATGATCGCCAAGGGAGAGTTTGATGAATCAAAAAACCCTAATTTCCGACTATGCAAAGTAATGAAAGAATAATCCATCGACAGAAACGCAATGAAACCAGAGATCGCAGGGAATAATTTGAAGAAAACAGCCACAAAGCAAATCGAGAAAGGCAATAATTTCGGATAGAAATTGTGCAGTTCAACGTAGAGAGATCAATCTACAAATTTAGCGACGATCAAGTTCGAAAGAAAAAAGAGAGAGAGAAAGAGCAGACCTCCTTCAACGTACGCCATGGGCGAAGTTTCCAAAGTTTTCTCAGGTCTTCTTCCCCAAACAATGTCAGAAGTAAATTGTATTCGGATTTATTTATGCCTTTTTTCTTGTTTTTTATCTTTTAATTTCCAAGTACCGACTTTTTTAGAGCCTTCGCTGCGGTGGGTGTCACGTGTTCGTTAAACGCTGATTGGCAGTTGTTCATAATTATTACACGTGGAACAGTTTTAGTGGATAGTCGAGAATCCCTTTTTAGTTCATTTTTATATTCGTGTTATATTGAAATATGCATTTAATATTTTTATTTTTAATAATTTTATATTGATATCTTGACATATTAAAAAAAAAATTTAATATTTTAGGACAGTTTTTTAGACACAGAAAAATAAAACTACCCTTCTTATTAAATATCACATGTTTACCAAACAAAATTATCCTCCTTTATGATAAAGACGTATCAAAAAGAGCATGGGTGGTTCAAAATAATAAAGGCATCTTCGGGTTGGATTGTAAGGAAATTGGCTAATGAATTTAAAGTCATTTAATAATAATAAAAGTAATTTTATCTTTTTATGTTTTAAAAAACTGTTTTGAGGTATTAAAAAAGAATTTTTTAAAATGTCAAGATACCAACATAAAATTATTGAAAATAAATATATTAAATTTATATTTTGATATAACATATAGTACCAAAATAAAATTTTCCTTAAAAATGAGTAGTGTTGTTAGTCTATGATGATATGCATTCAAGATTGAACATTCTATCAAAACTTTTAATTCATAAATGCCCTTAAATCATGTGCCTTATTTGAAAATACCCCCTAATTTTTTAAATCATTCAAAGCAACCCCGATCTGTAGAAAACAGATAAATTTGCCCTTTTTGTTAACTCCCACCTATAATTTTATTAAGAGAAATTCCTCAATTATCGTCTTCAACCTCGCCCTCGTTCTTAAAAATTAAGAGTAAAATGAGAAAAATAAATAATTTATGAATCTGCTATTTACCATTTATCTACAACAGTTATACTATTTATTATCTCAAGTTTATGAAATTTGTTATATACTACAAAATTCGAAGCATGAGATATATCATAGAATTTTTAAGAATTAACGTGTATATTCTTTTTTTTTTGTTTTTTGTTTTTTCGTTTTTTCGTTTTTTGTTTTTTGCTAAGGGTGTATATTCCTTCTTTGAAAGGATCCTGAAGTTGCTCAATTGAGAAATGTGAATAATAAAAGGATAGAACTTATATGTCCAGGCACTTTACAGTTAGATTTAGATTGACATATGGCAGCCGATATAAACTATTGCATAAAATATTACAGTTAAAAATACTTAAAATTCATAAAAATTATAGAAATGTACATGAAAAATCACAACACTTTTATAAAATCCAAAGATACTAAATGAAATACACAAAAACATAAGTATAATTTTACTCTATACACAAAACTTAAATAAGGTTATTGTGGTATATTTTGTAATAGTTTTAGTATCCATAGCAAAAGTCAATTTAACTTTAAAAATCATGACATATTGCCTAAATATCTCTATACGGTCCTCTTATTCTTTCTCTTTTTGTGTCCTCTCAATAAAATCATATGTCATATCAATTAAAATCTTTTAATTATTATGAATTTTTAATTGATATGATATAAAATTTAATTAACGTGACATTTTAATTGACATGGTATAATATTATTAAAAGAACATGAAATAAAATATGAATAAGAAAATATGAGAGTTGATTTCATAATAAAGAGACAGAGAGTAAAATGCATGGTTGGGGACAAGTATTGTGATTCGTGGAAATTTAGTGTGCATTTAGAAAGGAGATTCGTGTCATGGTTCGAATCATAGTTCGTGTCATGGTTCAAATCATAGTTCGTGACTCGTTATAGTATTTTCTCTTACAAAAAATACACGTAAAATGAAAATAATTTTTAATTATAATTCTAAATCTATGAATTAAACGTTCATTTATACTAATGACTCGAATAATAAACATACGGTCTAAATTCATTTATCTCCTATGGGGTTCCCGTGCCATGTCAAAAATTACAGACCCTAGGGGCAGTGGCGGCTGCTTCAAGAGAACCCATATTCAATGTCGCTAGTGAGGCCAAGCCATCATCTTCCTCAATGAAACAACGTCTTTCTTAAGTTTTTTTTTTTTCTTTTAATATTTAAATGAAAATTCAGATTTATTAATTAAAAGGATAAATAAGGCATTTAGTGGTTCAAAATGGATTTAAAGTATCGGAATGATATTTTAAAAAACTATAGAGTATCTTTTTCTTGGAGAAAAACTATAGATGATCTTTTTAATATTTTTGAAACAACTATACCAAATGTGATGTTTCGTGTGCCAAGAATACTATGATTAGCCGAAGCCCCAAAATGATTTTTTTTTTTTTATCTTAAAAAATATATTCTTGAAAATGAATAAAGCGTTGAAGCTTCAGGCTAGTAGTGTATGTACGTGGCAACTACTTCTGCAACGTGAATGACATTTTTCTTAATTAGAGAGAAGGCTTTCTGATGATATATAAACGAAAAGATACGTATATACAGGAATCATCAAATTATTACCTTTTTTAAAAGAAATTTGAAAGGTACATTTAAAGTTTTATAAAAAAATATATATATATTTGATTGGTAGCTCAATTGTGCAGCACATGGTTGGCATTGATTAATTTATGTTGGTAGGTGATGATGATCAGGCGAAACATTCTAAGCGAATTGCGATGATGGAGACGAATTGGCAATGTCTATTTATACTAATTGGAGCTGGCTAGAGCCCTAGAAGCATTTTCATAACAATATTGAGCTAGATTTTCTAAAGTCTCACTTAATAATTCCATATAGTGAAAATGGTCACGGGAGAGAGAATCCAAGCCTTGGCCTTTGCGGGGCTCAAAGAGCTCCCAGCACAATTTGTTCGACCGGACCACGAACGCCCCGAGAACACCAAAGCCGTCGAGGGCGTCACCGCACCCATCATCTCCCTCTCTCAGCCGCGCAATGTTGTGGTTAAGGAGATGGCTGCGGCCGCCTCCGAGTGGGGCTTCTTTCTTATTACCGATCACGGGATATCGCCCGAGTTGATTCGACGGCTTCAAGAGGTCGGCCGAGTATTTTTTGAGCTCCCTATAGAGGAAAAGGAGGCCTATTCGAATGACCCATCTCATGGGAAGTTTGAAGGTTATGGGACTAAGATGACTAAGAACCATGACGAAAAGGTTGAATGGATAGACTATTTTTTTCACGTCATGGCTCCTCCATCTAAAGTTAATTACCAATTCTGGCCTGCAAATCCTCCTACATACAGGTAGGTAATTTTCACTAAATGTGTTTTTAACCCCATATTCAAAATGTGTTCACTTTCTATTACTTTTTTTTTAAACACTCATATTTTATACATATACAATTACCCTTTTAAATTCAAGTCACATCTCATCCTACTTCATGCCGTTTGATTTAGTGATTATTGACGATTTTCTTTTAATATTTTTTAATTATGTTTTCCCCCAATTTTTTCATTTTCAAATTTCTGATATAAAATTTTTCTTTTCTTTTTATTGTATTGGGTAGTTTTTATATCTATTTAAACGTTTGAATATGAAGCTATGTACCCCCAACATGCAGTTATTGCACAGGGATTCTTTGGGAATGTTATGACATGTAGGGTTCGTTTAGTTCGATGATTCGAGCTTTTAATTTGAGTTGAGATGTGACTTTATGTGAAAAGCTAGATGTGACTGTTTCTGAGAATTTTTTACTGTAACAAAACTCGAATCGGCGAAATAAACAGGTCCGTAATAACATTATTCACATGAATGTAACTAGTTTTTTTTTTATACCTATCATGTGGCACTGCAGAGAAGTAACTGAAGAATACAACAAGGAAGTGTTGAGAGTGACTGAGGAGGTGCTTGAACTGCTCTCGGAGGGACTAAGCCTGGAAAGGAAGGCATTGAAGGGGAGTTTGGGAGGAGATGAAATAGAGTTAGAAATGAAGATAAACATGTATCCGCCGTGCCCACAACCCGAGCTAGCTCTCGGAGTTGAGCCTCACACTGACATGTCTGCTATCACCGTACTTGTCCCCAACGATGTTCCAGGCCTTCAACTCTGGAAAGACGGCCATTGGGTGGCGGTCGATTACTTGCCAAATGCGCTATTCACTCACATCGGTGATCAGATCGAGGTTTTCTTTTTTCCTTTCTTTAATGAATTCGGATGATTTCAAGAAATCAATCGGAGTTGGTTATTTATGGAAGTTCGAATTTAAGATTATGGTCTTTTACTTCTTACTAATTTAAAAGAATTCTTTGATAGGACATAAAAACATTGTATGATTAATAAGATATTGGTTTAAACTGTTAAAACTCAAATTTTTATTGGGATTTGTCAAATTTTTTTAATTTTTAATTTTGATGTGATTTCAATTTAAGTCTAAAAGTTTAACCTCTTGGATAATCTAGCAAGATCTAATAACTTAACCTCTTGGATAATCTAGCATATTATACATATATAGAGAGATCACCTTTCTACAAGAATAAATATATAGGTCGTCCTTAACAAGACTCTGAAACGTGAAGCTTTTGTCATATTTCATCAAATCTACATACATACATATATTGCGCGTAGCTTATTCTAATATAATATGATGGGATTAAGAAATTCATAATTATACCAATTAATTAGGTATCTCCAAACGAATTTGTTGTCTCTTTAACATTTTCTCATTTATGTACAATTATATTATATCGGGTACAACACATACCTGATAATTATCAGGATTTTTTTTTAAAAGTAAATGGAAAGCAATAATTACCAGGATTGATTATTAATTGATTGCACAAATTTTGGTAATAGCTCTAGCAGCCACTAGCTTCATCATATTAGAAAAGACTACTTATATAGAAATATATAACGGCTGATAACATTTTTCTTATATATGTTTAGTATTGAATTAAACCAAAATGCAGATCCTAAGCAATGGGAAATACAAGAGCGTTCTTCACAGGAGCGTGGTGAACAAGGAAAGCACACGCATGTCTTGGGCGGTGTTCTGTGCGCCGCCCCCCGAGACGATGATCGGACCTCTCCTGGATCTCGTCGACAAGACGAACCCGCCAAAGTTTTCGACCAAAACATATGCCGAGTTCCGATATCGCAAGTTCAACAAGCTCCCACAGTGACGGTGTTTCATATTAAATTGAATAAATCTTTATGAACACTTCTTAGTTTCAGTTGTTTTTCACTTTCGTGTCTTGTTGTGTGTCTTAGACAATTCATAATGTCTAATAACTGAGTGCGTCACGACTTATTTTGTTAATCTCCTACAAATATATTTTTTTCAATCAAGCTTGCTTGGTCCCATATATTTGTGTACTTTCTCTACTAGTCTATTTATTTTTATTGACAGTAAAATTTTACAATCGTAAGTATTAACAAATTCTTAAAGCAGGACTTGATAAAAAAATAAGAATAATAATAATAACAGCGAAGAAAAGAGAAGAAACGAGAATTGAACAATAAGTTGAAAAAAAAAATGATGGGTGGCTTAAATGTGACACTAAAGTTTGTGGGAGCTAAAACATACGTTTTGAAGTGCCACGGCAAATTGTTATTTCGCTCAAAGGCCAATAGAAAATTTTAAATTTTGTCCCATAAGTATAACAACTCTAAATATGTTGACTAAGCTAAGAAGAAAAACCCATAACTTAGAAGTTATATAACAAGAACAACAAAAATATTCATCCACATTTTGATGCTCTAAGCCGAATCATGATGGCCCATCTTTCCATCTCTTCACAAGTTTTCCCATATTTTGCTCTCTGTTTCCCAATCCCATTCACCGTTGCGTGCTAAGTCTCTACTTCCTTGACTCAACGTTCTTGACCCTCTAACTTCCTACGCAACCAACAAAACAGAAGAGACTTTAGAACAGAATCTGTTTCTTTTGCAAAAAAAAAAAAAAAAACTCCCTCAACAAATTACAAAAAGTCGAGACACCAACTTTAATATCCATCTCTGAAATCTTTGTCTCGTTCATTTCACCGATTCGAATTTTATATTTCAATTTCGTTATAGTTAAAAGTTTTTAAAAACAGTCACATCTAATTTTTTTATTACAGTTAAAAGCTCTTACATAAAGTCACATAAGAATTTTCTTTTTTTTTTCTTTTTCTTGTTTTTTACTCTGATTATTCAGGGGGTTTAGACCCAAAATAGAGCGGGTGAGGAATTAGTTTGACTAAAACAACTTGCATCTCTCACATAGGAAATTATTATTATTTATTTAAATCACATTGTTAACTCTGCTTTAAAGGCCATTATCTAAAAGCATCAATTGGTTGATTCATAATAAATTGGTAAAAAAAAAAAAGTAAAGACAAAAAAGGAAGCTAGTGAAAGAGATAATGTTAAACTAGGGACGAGAAAACTCGTGTGGGTGTTGGTACCCCATGGAGCAATGGAATAAGTCAATTTAAGTTTTAGATCCAAATCCTTATATATCCCGATAAGCATTATCCCCATGAGACCCAACCCACATGTTGAGACCCACATGCGGGGCCCATTCCCAAGGTCTAATGGGGACATCCCTACCCAGTTATACAAAGATTGCATTTTTTGGACTAAGATAATTAGCTCCGTTCATTTTATCGATTCGAGTTTAGAATTTAAATTTTGTTACAGTAAAAAGTTCTCAGAAACAATCACATCTAACTTTTTTGTTACAGTAAAAAGCTTTCATATAAAGTCACATCTCAATTCGAATTAAAAATTCGAGTCAGCGAACTAAACGGGCTCAGTGAATTGTCAACCTAGTGTACAATCTCTTATTCGTGTGATAAGTTTGGGACATATATTATCTTACATGATCTTATGTAGTACCTTGACTAATTGAAAGACTTACTTGTGGCATACGATGCTTAAAAAAAAATACATTTTGTACTTATCAGAAAATGGATGTCGTAGTGGTGGCCTTAATTCTTACAGGGCCCACTTCATGATGGTGAGATGTTCTCAGAAAAATCATAGAGATGGAACAAAGTTACAAGGTTATTTGCATTACAGTGGTGACATTATTTCTTAGAGGATGTTTGGTAGAGGGATTCGTTCCCTGATTCGAATCATGATTCGTGGTTCGCTACAGTATTTTTTCTCACAAAAAATTCACGTAAATTGAAAATGGTTCGAATCACATGGTTTAAATCGAAGATTTTCACGTAAAATACAGAGTTATACAACAATTCATGTCAATTTGAGTTCTAGTGACGGACCGGGGAAAATAAATAAATAAAAGGTCCAGAATTTTATTTCCTTGTGGCTGCAAATTAATAGGCCCTATGAGTTGTCACCTAAGTAGGACGCTTTCATTCAGAAGAATCAAGAGATGAAAAACATATATCAAAATCGCATCTTATTAGAGCTTCAAAATAAATAAGGAAAAAGCAAAGGAACAAACATTGATTAAGAAAAGAAGCACATACCCCTCTGAAGAAAGATGACAAGAGTAAAAGCCCATCAACAGATGCTGGCCCATTAACAAGTAAAGAGGTTGTTTCAGAACTGAAAGTGCTGTCTCAATGTCAAGAAAGCCAACTTCCACCATCCTCTTCAATACTCTGGCTTGGAAGGTTTTCCCTCTGTTAGACAAGCATAAGTTGGTCTTTCAGTTATACATATACATACATACATATATATATATATATATGACGAGTTTTCAATGATTATGTTTTCATCGGTGGTATATGTAAGACGAGTTTTAAAGGAAAAAAAAGAGCAAAACTGTGAAGCTAGCTATACAAATTCAGGAACTACAAGGATATAAACACTGCAAAACAGTAGATTTTGAGAAAGAAAATTCCAATATTGGCAATCATTAATTATAGGACACCGTGTGTTTTGGATGTTCTCAACATTTGCACATTTGAATGTCATTTGACTGATATACGATACAAATTTGATGTGAAATTGAAATCTAAGGATACAATGTTGAGAACATCTGAAATCAAGGTATATGTTTTTAATAATCTTAATATACAGGATATAAAATAGTAAATATATATCAAGAAGATTAGCGCCAAAAGACCTGGTAGGATCCCTGAACGGTGACCGAAGTTCTGGAGCAGGTATAATCCCGGCAAGCAGCGCAGACTCCCCCAAAGTTAGAAGAGATGGAGGCTTTCCAAAATAGAAATCTGATGCTGATTCAATGCCATAAATACCATGTCCCCAATAAATCTGTAAAATGAATCCTGATATCTGTTACACCAATTGCAATTACTGCAAACGAGAATATCATCTTAATCAAGTAAGTAGGAAGAGCAGAAATTACCAAACTTAAACCGGACATTTTTTCTGCACAAGCAGCATGGTGTGTCAATAAGATCTTTCTTTCTATCTCTACTACTAACATTCTCCACGGATATAGCGAGCCGCGGACATTTTTAAACTAAACAGAACTTGCAATAGGACTGCATGAATTGAGCATCTCATGCTAGACTTATTTCAATTTGCTCACGTGTTATTACTAAACCAGATCAGCTAAAAAATTTTGGCTGATTTCTAAACCTTTCAGTTGAACCTGACATACACTGGCTAAGTTTAGGTTGGCTCTCAAAGGCTGAGATATTGAATGGTTGAAAATTCACATCAGCAGGAGAGAAACCAGTGGATGTGAGAAACAGCATCAACTCTTTTTCCCCGTCATTTGTTCTCATAAGACGCTGTGACAATTAACTCATCAAATAAGAGAGATTTTTGAATCAATTAGATTCAAAACACTAGCTTTCTAGTTTCTACAAACTACCTATAAACCAAGCATGTATGGCGCTTTCATCTCTGTTCTACAAACTAGATAAACATCAATCCGTAGCATTCAGTGGTTGAAGGATATTTCAGACAGTAAACAGCAATGCAGATATCAGTTCAAGCAATTCCAGTTTACTGATTTGCAAATTCAAACATAGTATGTTTTCTAATAATAATAATAATAACAATAATGATAATAATGAAACGTTTTCTGCTATAATATTAGATTTCCTAAAGGACGGGAAAAATATGATATTCTAGCAGATGCCACTGGTGAAAACATTATCTATAAGTAAACACTAAAAGCTATAAAACATAATCTATCAAGTTAACAAGGCGTCGCAAAATAAATAATAAACAGGAAGTATTCGTATTTGACCTTATTTACATAGCAGCTCAATATTCTCCTTTTCGATATTGTCCTCTCCAATGCTACTGACAGAACCATCTCAACCATTTTTCTTGGAAGTGTTCTTTCATTCTTAAGGAAAGTATTTTTAACAAGCTGCAAAGAGGGATTTATAACAGTAAGAAATCAAAGGAAATGAATAGAGGAGATGCCGAAAAGAACCAAGTGCCAAGATCAACACAAAATAATAAATTGAAAACAAAGCATAAGCCATTCATTGTAAATAATCTCAGACAGGTTGGGAAGAAGGATCTCAGAAATTAGCATCGGAACAACAAACACCCAGCTGCAGGCGTTATAGGCACCCGGTAAAAAGAAGAAGAAGAGAAGGAAGAAAAAAAAGTTCTTATAAAAGCTACCTATAATAGGTAGGGTAATTTTCGTAAAAGAAACAGTTTACATGAGCCAAATAAATTAAAGCCGTCCAACCCACCCACCTTGAACTTCATGGTGAGATCTATAGTCTGTGTAGCTTAAATGTGAGAATTATAATGCCAATACAAGCAGTAAACAAGTTGAAATTCGAAATTACATACATTTAATGGCCATTCGCAATAAACTATACAAAAACTGCTCAATTACTAAACATTATCTAGGTCCTGAGATCTGTTGTGAGGAGACATAAGAAAAATAAGCATGTGATTCACTTGCTGTGCTCGGGGAAGAAGCTTTTAGTGGATACAGCTCTGTATCATTTTTCTCAGCTGCCTCCGCTATCATAGACGCCTCAGTGAACCGACGGCCATAAAAGCGCAAGAAATTTAAAGACTCCAATCTTGGATGACCTACAGGCATCCCACCTTCCAACATGCCAACAACAGCAACCATATTAGGCCTCAGTGCCGGGTCCTCGTGAACGCAACACAGAGCTATCCGCACTAATTTTTCCACCTCTTCACTTGTCACCCGCCCCTCGAGCCTTGGATCAACGAGCTCCAAGTACCTTTGTTGCTCGTGCATCTCCAGTGCAAACAGAGGAAAATAAATGAGCCCTGAAGTGGAGAACAATGATGAGACAGCACCACTACTGCTACTTTCATTCGCACTACGGCTTTGTGAACGCATTGAACAGTTTTTCCTTCCACTTACAAGTTCAAGCAGAACCATTCCAAAACTGTAGACATCAGTTTTCTCTGAGATTGCAGCATTAGTAAGCCACTCTGGCGCAAGATAACCACGTGTGCCTCTCATTGTTGTGAAGAGACTGGACTGCTCAGGGCTTAGAAGTTTTGAGAGCCCAAAATCGGAGATTTTTGCGTGAAATTGATCCTGCAAGAGAATGTTCTCAGGCTTGATGTCACAATGAATTATTTTTTGTTCACAGCCACTGTGCAAGTATGCAAGCCCACGCGCTGTCCCAAGGGCTATATCAAGCCTCTCTTGCCATTCTAACACCGGTCCACTTCCAAAAAGGGTTCGGTCCAGTGAGCCACGGCTCATATATTCATAAACCAACAGCCGCTGTCTTCCTTGAGCACAATATCCTTTCAACCTGACCAAATTCGCATGATGAATATTACCAATAACAGCAATCTCGGTGCAAAAATCTTTTTTCCCTTGAACACCTAAATTAGTTATCTTCTTTACTGCCACAACAGTTTTGTCTGGTAGTGTTCCCTTGTAAACAGAGCCAAATCCACCTGAGCCAATCTGGGTCTTAAAGTTATCAGTAGCCTCCTCAAGCTCTTCATAGTCAAACCTTTTAGGTAGCCCAGGGATGTAGAAGGCATCCAGATCTCCTGAAGAAAATGATCTTGTATTGCCTAATTTTATCTCTCTTGCCTTGGATCTCCATCTTACCCACAAGACGAAACCTAGAGCTGCCAAAAGAAAGAAGGCAGTGAAAGGTAAAAGCACAAGAGCAACTACAGGAAGCTTCCGTCCTTTGTCTCCGTTGTTACTCATGGTGTTTGATTGGGTAGAATTTGAAAGAACTTTAACGTAACCCAACAGGTCCGTATTGCTTGAAATAATGGACCCCAACTCGTTTTCGAGCAGAAAACAAGAACTAGATGAATTTTCATAGAAAACACCCAAACAAGAACAGTTACCCGTGCAGAGATCTTGACAATTAGACAAATCAACGCCAAAAATAGGCTGGGAGAAAACGTTGGAAAAATAATCCATACCATAGCCAAGTCTCAGATACAAAACAGAGGATGAATTCGGTTGAACGTCTTGATTGGTCAAGTTACAAGCAACGGGCAAAGAATAAGATCTATCACTTGGTTCACAACCACTGCTATTCTGTGTGATTCCGTGGAAGCTCAGTGGACATGAACATAATGGATTAGTTGATCCAGAACCTGCAGTACACAGCCCAACTGTTTCACAAACAAAAGGAATTCGACAGCCATCATTTGGCCCCACAAATTCCTGCTTCAAGTTGATACCAGACAAGCTACTGACAGTAAATTGGCCAGACGCACCAAGCCTCGCAATTCGGAAATCTGACGAAGACAAAATCACCTGAATCACAACTACTGATCCACTACGGCCAAACAGAAAAACACCTGTTCTGTTTATTGCCATATATTCCACTAGATAATTTGAATTTGTATAAGCCTTGGTATCCATTGACAACTTCCAGTATGTCTGTCCATGCCATTGCAATATTGCATCAGAAGCAGTAATTGCAAGATTATAATCACCAGTTGAGATATCATTATCTGATACAGCAGCATACAGATATGTCCCGGCAGGCAAGCGTTGTCCAGTCACAATCGTGTCCGTCGGATGGTCAAAACTTTCCCACAGACTGCCATTAGATTGATCGAGCAGTACAAGATTGCCCATTTCAGTCAGCAGTAATGCAGAAACTGAAGACCCTAATGATGGAGTTGACCATTTTTGATTGCCATCCTCATCAGTAATGCTAATTCCCTTAACTGTAAGAGTCATTTCACCCGAACTTGAGATCGGAGCATCACGGTTAGCAGACCAGATGATGGTGTTGGATGCCGCGTGAATGACACACAAGTAGAAGTTGTGCTGTTGGGCGCCGGGATTTGAAATAGCAGCTTTGAACGTCCCATTCCGGGAGGCCAAGAAGGCACCAGCATTATCAATGAACAAAAGGTGTGAAGCAGTGAATTTTGGATGTACGGACTCCAAGTAAGTATAGCTAGAGACCAGAGAAAAGCAAAAGAAGATAAAAGGAAAGAGTATGAAGGATCCCATGCAGAGGTACTATGGGATGAAGATAGAGAGAGGGAAAAAAAAAAGAAAAAGGAGGCTTGATGAAGAAGGTGTATTGGAGAGGAATGGAAATTGTCCACTCTGGTTCTTTCCATTTCATTCTTGTCTCTACTACTCAATTTTTGCAATGGGGTTGACTTTTTCTCTCTCTCTCTTCAATGAACTTGATGTAAAACGGTTGACAAGGTAGACGTAATCGTTAATTTCGTGCTAACATCAGCTGGGGATGTAAAGTATAAAAATTGCAGTGCCGGGTCACACCTAAGAAAGTCTACTCATGCAGTTATGGCCTAAGCCTTTGTCCCTATATGGACTCACTTTCTCCAAAACGTTGTGAGCACATTCAATATTCCAAGTTTCAATCTCTCATTATTTTATTTCCTACCATAGTAGAATAAGAGGTATTATATAAAATATAGAGATTTCGGTGCCAGCGTGATCACACAACGTGTTAGTTTAGTTCTGAGACCATTCTTGTCCACTTTCATGCACCTGTTCTTCAATTATTTTATTCTCAATGATCTCACCATCTCTCTTAAAATATTATACATGTATATAGATATATATATACATACATACATATAGATATATAAATACATATATATATGCCCATTATCACAAAGTTACAACTTGTACACAAATTCAGAAAAAATATATGTACATTTTTTTTATATTATTACAATATTCAGAAGAAAAAACAACATCTCAATTTGCCAATAAAAAAGAAATACATACAAAACTCAAAAAAGTAAAATAGTCAAACAATTATTTCCTGCATATAATTGTTATAATATTCAGAAGAAGAAGAAAGAAAAAAAATAATTTTGTTTTTCACATTTTTCGAGAAAGAAAAAATGAAAACGTTTCTAAAACGACGTTTGGCGCAATAAAGATAAAAAACAGAAATGAAAACGATTTTTTAATTTATTGTAAAATGATAAAGAAATGAAAAATGACTTTTAGTCGTTTTTCATTTTTTGTTTTCGTTTTTTCCTCCCTCGAGCAGAGAGAGAGAAACATTAATAAGTATTTTTATATTGAAAATAATCTCTTGATAAAACTACCAAATGCATTTTTAAAAATAATTTCTGTCTGAGATTGAAAACGTTTTCATTTTCATACAAAAACAAAATCATTTTAAAACGAGTTCCAAACACGCCCAAAGAAACAACAACAAGAAGAAGTAACAACAACAGCTCACCTTGCCAAAAAAGAAATACATACAAAACCCCTTTGTGGAATAAAATTAAAATCGTCAAACAATTAGTTCCCTATGCTCTTCTAATACACCCACTAATATAACTTGAATCAATACAATTATACAAGTTTGAGAAACCAATACATATTCAAAGATAAACAACCGCCCACTCTGCCAAATGTGTGTGTGTGTGTGTGTGTGTGTGTGTGTGTGTATATAATCAACAGAAAATTAGGTGGCATGCCACAAACTCCACATCAAGTTAAGAATTACGTCACGACTTTTTTAGTGTTAGGATTTTATATCACTTTTTTGTACTTTTGACTGATCCTTGGCATTCCCAAGTTTTCTCAATAATCAATACACACAAAACCCATTTTTCATTGAGTAAACTAATCAAACACTTGGTCGGCGTTGAACCCACCAACAACGACTGCCACCGCCGCGAGCCGAAAACAACACCGAAGCCCGGGCAATCCCAACCGGGTCGACCCCAAAATGCGCTAAGAACCGCCTGTCCTCGTACGCGACAATGGCTTCCCACACGTGCGAGAGGAACCGCTCGTCCGGGCCTCGGCTTCTTCGGAGGCCGCCACGAGGCCCCGCCACCGGGCGGGGAAATTGGGCAGAAGAACAGCGGAGAAGAGACGGAGGACGAGAAGGAGGGAGGAGACGGCGAAGAGGATGAGGCTTTGGGTGAATTGGGGAGAGGTCGGAGAGTGGCGGGGAGGGAGTGAGTGGACTCGGAAGGAGACTGAGTTGGGGCGAGATGGACAGAGAGGGGTTGGATTTGGAGAAGTGTAGAAGCGAATAAATTGAATTGGTGATGGGTTTGGTTTGGGGTTAGAGAGAAATGGCGGGAAATCTGGCTTGAGTTTGAGTAAAAGGAAGGATTTGGTTGAGAGAAGAAGGAGAGTTTGAGTCATGTGTGAGTGGCAGTTAAGCTCATGTCCTTCGAGTTTGTGTTCATATTCGTCTCAATTCGAGTTACAACTAAAAACATGTTTTGCTAATTTTCACTCACAAAAAAAAAAAATTCAAATTTAATATTTTTATCTTTTCCTTTTTATATTAATTGCTTTTTAATTATATTTCTCACTTAAAACTCGCGTAATAGAAGGACATATCGATAAGAGACATAATTTTAATTTTGTAATAAATAGATGACAATAAATTTATGAAAATTCAAATTTAATATTTTTATCTTTTGCTTTTATATTAATTACTTTTTAATTATATGTCTCAATTAGAACTCGCATAATAAACGGACATATCAATAAGAGATATATTTTTATCTCGTGGTGATAAATAGATGACAATAAATTTACGAATAATAGTGATTCATTGGTGTGCCACTACTGTCACTGACAATAGATATATTCTCTGTTGAAATAAGATCTTTTATATTCTGATTTCATGTCTAACTAATTAAATCATTACTTGGTATCTAATCCTTAATATATTTCTTGAGATCGGAGTGTAAGGTGCCTTTTGTGCCTGTTATCAACAGAAAGATCCTTAATGATTACTTTATTACAATCGGATAAACATATTGTCGTGTGTAATTAGTTACAAAAAAAAAAATAATAGTTGTAGTTGGTTTCACATTTATTGTATTTAAGTCGAGCTAGACTTTAAAATTTGATGAACGTGATATTAACATTAATTATTATTTTTTTATACAAATGATCTTCATTAAACCAGAGGGGACCAGATTAATATCAATGGTCCCAAAACGATTACAACAAACGATTAACATTAATTGTTCGAAGAAAGTTGTTTTCAAACCCGTTATGCTCGCCCTTGTACAGGACAACTTGAATAATGTTAATTTGATGAGGTTTTTATTAATGCTGAAGCTGTCAAATCTGTTTAATAAATTCATGATTTTGGGAATGCGACTTGAGTATATTTTTTTCATAACTCAAATTATATTTTTATAATGTGTTCTCTAATAAAAAATATTTATTTTGTCTTACATACACAAGTCAAGTCATACAAAGAATATTTATTTTGTATTATTTGTAATTATTTGTTTCCTTCTTATTTATTTTTACTTTTTATCGTCATTATTCCGATTTGACTCGTGATTTGCCGCAATTGCATTTTAAAAAAGTTAAAAAATTATAAATTCTATTTTTTTAAATACTTGACTTATTAAAAATATCATTTTTAAAAACTCTATCATTTAATTAGTTTTAATTTAAAAGATTAAAATATATAAACTAATATTAAATTGCATAAATAAAAGGAGGTAAGGAGTATTTTTAAAAATTATCTTTTTAAGTTCACATGGGTGGGCCAATAATGGACTATTGTAAGCAACTGGGCTGGGTTTAATAATGAAGCCCAGTATGTATGTAGGCAAGGATGGCGGATATCGCTAACATGTTGTTACGCGGGGGTTTAAATCCGTGATTTTAATTTTGAATTTAAATAGAAAAAATGAGATAAATATTTTTTATATGAATTCATATTTTTTATTCTTTACTCTTAAGTATTATTTTTTTAGTCAAATAACTGTATTAGTTAAAAGAGTATTAATTAAGAGTAAAGAATAAAAATTTAAACTCATGTATTCTAAGATAAGTTCAGTCATTTTCTTAATTTTGTGAGAGAACTCGTTGATGTGAACTTTTTTTATTCAAAATTTTTATTAAAAAAAATACTATAACAAAATTAGAATCAAAAGTTTAAACGGGTGAACTAAATGAGTACGGGCCGTTCATTTCGCTGATTCGAGTTTTGTTACAGTAAAAAGCTCTCAAAAACAGTCACATCTAACTTTTTTGTTACAGTAAAAAGCTCTCACACAAAATCACATCTCAACTCAAATTATAAACTCGAATCAGCGAAGTGAACGGGCCTAATCTCTTAAAGTGAATTTATCTAATCAGCCGTTGTCATGAGACCTGTAGTCCAAAACGGTCAGCCATCTACCATTTAAGTTGTACTCGATTACTCTTCTTTATTCAAAAATAATGTACCAGATTACTCTTTGATATTGGCATCGGCTGTCGAAGTTAGAGAAAATCAGCCATTTTTGTTGATAATGAAAAATAATTTGCCAATTTACTTTTCATGGATGAAGACCAAAGCTGAAGACGGTCGACTATCCTGCGTTGAAAAAGAAAAATAATTTGGTAAAATGTCACAAATAATCTACTAGATTATTCTTTGGCAACTAGAGAAGGCCGGTCATTTTTTTTTTGTTGAGAATAAGAAAAGATGAAACAATTTTGTAGAGTATCAAAAATAATCTAACGAATTTCTTACCAAATTACTCTTCATCGACCGGAGCAAATGGCTCTATTGGCTATGAATTTATAAACTTTGAAGGAGTTGTTCTTTTAGAATAAAACTCAGAAAAAATTTGAACTCGAGTTATAATTTTATTTAAATTTATGTTTTTTCATAAAACTCGAGTTTAAACTTGAGTTTGAACTCGAGTTTTGGGCTAAACTTGAGTTTAAATTTTCCATTCAACTCGAGTTCATAAACTCTAACTCAAGTTAATGAACAATATTTTTTTTATTCTTAAAAATGTCATAACTTTTTCGTTTTAATTCCGATTGAGATGATTTTTATTTCATACATTCACAACGAAAAAATGAATAAAACCTCACTCATATATCCTATTAAAAATTTTCATCACCATTGAGTTTTTATTAAAATACTATCTAAATACAAATTCAAGTTTTGACTCAACCAAACACAAACTCAAAAATGTTCTCAATTCAAATCATAACTCAAATATGCACATCCAAACATAAACTCAAATTACAACTTC